TACAGAGAAGCTGTAATACTTTTACTCATAACTTTGGCAATAATGACCTATCATTATGTGGAGAATAAGAATATATATTCAAAAGTCAATTTTCATTTTTTGGTCACCGATGCTGGTTTCAGGATGGCAAACCTCATATAACTTTTTCATCAAGGAAAAACATTTTTTTACCATCAAATTTTAAGGTATGATCCCTTTACAGCAACTGTTTTCTTTCTCTATGGAGAGATTAAGACTCTTGCACTGAGCAAAGAGGAATATATTGCCACCAGTAGAGCTCTGCAAAGCCAAGTACACACTGCATTGGCTGTATGACTATCAGACTCACTTATCAAATTTTGCTCTGTAAGCACTTTGGGCATGACACTACATACAAGTGGCAGCACTAAAAATTATCCATTGCATGTACCTTGTCCCAATACATTCTTCATAAAATCATGCTAGCCGACGACTTTTGTTGCAATGTGTGTCTGGCTTTACAGCTGTCTCTTATACACATCTAGATGTGTATAAGAGACAGTATATATACTGTACAAATGTAACTCCATGCTGGGGGATTTTCATAATTTACAGACACGATGAAAATCCTGATTCTATTTTGAAATTATAAAACTGGAACGATCATTTTCTTCTGGTCTGTCATTCATGAGGTTTCTAGGTACTGCACAGTTCCTATTTGTACCACATTTCAAATTCACCATGTGTGTATGTTCTGCGTTTGTTCAATAAATAGGCCTAGGTTTGATTGATTAATCTGGAAGCGGCTTTATGATTCAGAAAGGTACGGTAGAAAATGTTAATAAAAAGAGTCCATTGAATGATATGAATTGTCAATATTCTAACTTAGCATCACCACTTTTTACGAATGTGTCCCCAAAAGGTACCGTAGAGGTACTGAGCAGACAATATATTTTACAGGTTGCAAACTAATTTGCAAATGAACCAAGATCAAAGCTGCCGCAGCGGTGTGAAGAACGTTTGCGCGATGCCTTTGAAGTCCGATGTGTTCCCCGCCATCAAATTTTCAGCAGGCATAGTTTACCAAAATATTGAACATGGCAAAATGGAGAGCACCTTCTTTTCCCGATGCGCACTACATACAATCAATCACTATGACTGCGCAATCGCTTTCATTTTGAAGCTGATACATTTATCTCTCATAAAATTTCAAACATATTAATATTTTCCACCAAAAAAAGTTTCGAATTTAATGGAACATTTACATGACCTTTAAAAGTATAGTATATTTCAACTTAAATTTCATAAATTAGCCAAAATTCTCTAATTCTAATTTTAACAGATATTAATTATTAAATGATTGAGGATTATAATAAACTAAATCATTTTAGGGTTAACTATTCAAAAAATCAATCCAAAATCTGAGTATTTTTCAGTTTTACGCTGACTGACCTTTATAGTGGAACCAATCAATCTTTAGACAGAATTATGAACAAAGTAATCTAATCAGGGGAACATTGTTCATCATAAAGATATTTAATGGGTTAAAATCAAACGCTTTATTGCACAACTGCTCTGCTGGAAGCGTAAATGCATGACGTTGCCAAGTTGTTGCTAACGAAAAAAATGTGAATTATAGGGTAATACCAAAGGCGGGCAACACGTTGGTTTGTCGCGTCAAAGGGATCTGTTGCCGAGTGATCCCCTTCTTAATAATACCTCCATCAGTGTGACCACTTCTTGGGTATTTACCCAAGATCTTGGGTATTTTGACTTGGTCTTGGGTCCTGAGTATTTTGTCTTGAGTATTCCTTTCAAATCCTTGGGTATTTTATTTTTACTAAGAAAATTCAATATTTTTAACAAGTAACAAAGTATATGTCAGTCCATTCAAGTAATCAAAACTCAACGAAGTGTACATAACATTGTTAATTGACTGTTAATTGCTATAAACATGGGTTCAGAATTGTTTATTTGTGATTTGTGTTGCCATTGATCTTACCTAATTAATGCATAATTACATAATATAACTTGATCACTGATATACTGATCGACTGAGGGCGTATTTTTCTATCTGTATTATCAGCTCATGAATATTAATTTTAATAATTAACACAAACAATTACAATAAAAAATGGTTTATAAATTGAACTAAAAGGGAAACTATACGTGTGAAAAACACGGCGTTTTTTTTCAAATTTTAATGCATTTTCCGGAAGCTTGGGTAATTTTGGGCAATTTTTGCTGAATCTTGGGTAATTTCGACCCAGTCAATGGGTATATCAAAAATTGTGAGTGGTCACGCTGACCTCCATGGTTATACGGTACTGCATGATTTACCTGATCACATGACAATGCAACAGAAAAATCTAAACCATGCCAACCACAGGGAGGGCCGCCCGCCCCAGGCGTCGTCGTAGAACTTTCCCCCACACAAGGAACGTGTATTTCTGCGACAAAAACAATACAGTCCATTCCATCTCTCGCCGTTGAGGAACATGCAGAAGAATTCCAATGAGGAAAACCTTTTCCCTAACGATTTTTCGGCGACAAAATATTTCCCGAAAAGTAACGTTTAATTTCCCAACGAGTCTGCTCATTTTTCCCGTCGAAAAATACACCATAACATTCAACTAGAAAACGTTTTCCAACAAAATAGTTAAAATTGGTTCGTGGCTTTTAAGGCTTGATGAATCCTCAGGTGCTTTAGACAGTCCCAGTTTCCTGCATTTTTTCGGCTCTGCTCACACCTTCGAGGCAAATTCCTACGTCTGCCCCATTCGCTCTGGTGTTGAAAACGCTGTTTTAAAGGAATTTCGCACCTGGATCAGTAAACCACCGAAATCTGTTTCTAAAAAAGTAAAACATTTGTGGTTAGCTGATGCAAACTTCTACTAATAACTTGGAAAAGCTTCACTTAGCGAGCACAACATCATAATTAACAAACTGAAATGCAAATATAAAGCAAAATACCCGTTGACCACATTCGCAAATAAGGTAGATCGTTTAGAATTAAACATGATTTGGAAACGCTTTTTTTAAACGTACCGTAACCTACGTGCACTTATGCACTTTCTGTTTATTCTTCTAGACTGCTTACATAATCGGTGCCGTGTTTCAGTATCGTAATGTAGGCCTAGGTCTAGATGGAAACTACTCTGTAGACTTAGTAATGGATTAATGGAATGACAAATCTGGTTGAATTAACCCAAAGTTTTGAATAATAAATGGTGGAGGTTTAATTAGCTGGACATATTCTGTATTTTGCAGTGACCCAAGTGGATATAACAAAACAAGCAAGTTTGTAACATATAGTTAAAAACAAAGGTATTTGTAGCCGCACTAACCATGCAAGAACAAGATGTACTTTCGAAAGCAGCAGCTAGACCAGTTCAAACCTGGATTAACCTCTGGAAGCCTGAAATATCAGAGTTAATCCTTGATCTTGTTAAGGCATGTGGCAATGAAGACGAAGTGAAGCAAGTGAGAGCCTGGTTATACGATCCTAGTACGATTCCTACGACAGGCTTTACAATTGCTGTAACCATTTTAATGATGGGCGACTATTTAATTAGCGACGACATTTCGACTATCAGGTATGAATATTGATATTGATATTGATTTATATGATTATGTCCCTTGACAGGTTTAATATGAGAGGCTGTAATAGGCCTACTTAAAATTGAAATGATGGTGATTCCTTTATAATTCCAAAATTTGTAAAATCTCAATAATTTTGAGTTCACAGATTCTGGTCAAGTCTTATGCGTATTAAAACGTAACCGAGAATTAAAATAATATTTTTCACCAATTTCTATTGCCAACAATCTCACCTAATTAATCACAATCATTAGAGTTACACCACACATCTATAAATTTTTGGAAATTAAATTTCCACAATGTTCTTTAAAGATTACTTTTGTGTTCCTACGCAACATTTTCATTCAGATAATTTAATTCATCTTCATCAGTTTGTTATTACTAATGCGTCTGGGATATTTACAATTTTTAATTAGGCCTCGCTATCATTTTCCAGATTTTTGTAGTGCAATGTCTGTAAAATATGCAGTAATAAGTGTTTGTAACCTGATTTTTCAGGTTAAGTATTGGATGTTTTATATTAAAATATTTTGGGTTATTGAGCATCTTTGCTCAACATTATGATGGACCATTTACATAAAAATAGAATTATGTCTGTAATTAAAATACAGTAGAATCCCTATTAAGGGGACAGCTTTGGGACCTACAAAAATCCCCTGAATAGGGGTTCCCCTATTCATGGGACACTCTAACAAAAAAAAAACGCGAAATTGGGTTTTTAGGCATGTTTTCGTATAATGCTGATTATTTATAGTCCCCATTTTTCTTTTCATTGAAAGAATGAGTTAAAGTTGTATTATAACTAATTTATAACAATTTGAAAAGCAAAAAATAATTCATTTCAGGTATGAAATTAACAGATATGTAGGCCTAATTAAAACTACAAAAGTTGTATATGTTCCCGATATTGTTTTTTTTATTCGATATTTATTATTTATGTTGAGCTTTTTATCTGGATGTACAAGGTAGAATACTATTAATAAATTAACAACTTAGAAATCTGGGTGCAGGCTGTATGGTATAGATTAGAATCCTATATGAAAACACACAAGAAATCTCCATGGTTAATGGTGAAAGTTTACAAGATTTAATTTATACGAAGTAACACATGCACTAGACATACACCAATGCCCTTTGTAATGATGGAAATAACTCTGGTTTGATGTTATGTTTATTGCTCAAATGTCAAAATATAAATTGGAATTATTTGGTTTTTATTATTTTGTGACTACCGTAGTTGCTTTCATAAAATTTAAAAAAAGAGTCCCTTTAATAGGGGTTTATTGCATTGATTTGACCATTTTGCATGCTTAAAAAGTGTCCCTGTCTCCTTAATAGGGGCGTCCCCTTAATAGGGATTGGCTGTAGTGTTAAAAGATATTATATTCCCCTCTTTTTAACGGAAAAGTGTCCCTTAATAGGGGTGTCCCCTGAATAGGGGGTTCTACTGTAGAATATGAATAATATTGACAGATATTTTGTAACTCAATGGTCTTTTTGCGCTTGCTCTACATACCCCATTGTATGCAAGTGTCTATAACCCAAACCCAAATAACTGATACCTGTAAATCCTCGTGTGTGGACCAAACTCCCTGCTGATGTGATGAATTCTATAGTACTGAAATCTCTTCCAACTCTCTCATGGACATTCATAACATTTTCTCTGACCAAGATTTCTAAATTCTACATTATACTGACCTTATATATTTATTAATTATTGTATCTACATTGTTTAACTGCAACTTAATACTTATTGTTGCTTGTTGAAATTTATTTAATTAGTATACCATTAAGTTTATATGAACTTCCTGTTTTTTGGTTTGTTTTTTTTTTTCCTGTTTTTTTCCTTCATTAATAACTGATCTTTAATAAAATAATTTCGGTAATTTTCTCTTTACATAAAATTATTATTACATACTAAGTAAGAGCAGTTTTGAATTTTTGAATTATGATAGGCCTATTTATGCTATCTATTTTATTGTATTTAAATGTTTTTTATGTTTATATTTATTAATGGTGGCAGCTGACTCTCAATGAGTTATAGTAAAATGTTGCTTAAGCTGCCCCTGACCAAAATTGTTGTTGTACTGTACCTTTTGTAAACGTGTATTGGTCGAATAAATAAATGAAATAAATGAAATGAAATGATAATAACAATACATTAGTCATCACCATGGTGGAAGTGACAACAAGAGCTTTAACCTAACGTGTTGAAAAATTAAACGAAATGTGGAATGCCCATTTCTGATCTCAAGCAACCGCTAGATTGATATTTCTAAATATTTTTTTACAGAAAAAGATTTTCATCGAATTATTGTTAACTCTCCTAACAATGTGAACTTCCAATGAAATTTAATTTGTTACAGTATAGCATATGTCTCAATTTCCGTGTTATCGTTTAATAATTCAATCTACAGAATGTGTTTTGGTAAATTTATGAACCAGATTCCGCTTCTGCCAGTTATCAAGATGTTAATCATTAAAGAGGTGGATGTTACTGAAAAAGAGAAGATCGCAGAAAGGTACATAAGAGAAGTACTGGAGGATGCAAAATACAAAGATAATCTACAATTAGCTTATGACAAATGGGAAGAAACAAAAGCAGATCAAGTAAAAGTGCTGAGAGATATTGCAGATGAAATGGTCAAAAGCAGACAGAGAGGACACATTGCCAGTTTAGTCGGTTCGTCAGTGTCCGCCTTAGGAGCTGGAGTTGCTGTAGGAGTAACGGTAGCAGCAGCAATTATCCCTGGCGGCCTTTTATTAGAAGGAGCAATTGTAGCAGGTGCTTCTGCTGTCGGTATTGCAGGAGGAGCTGCAAGTATTGGAGCATCAGTTGCTACGAGTAATTTGGCAAGAAGAGCTGAGAAAAAGTCTGAGAATGTGTTAAAAGCTCAAGCAAAGACCACCGAAGATTTAATAAAGCTGTTTAAAGAATACAAGGAAAAAACAAAAATCCACATGGAGACAGTTAAACGGTTTGACGACGTCGTAGTGCGTTTCGAAAAGCTACATGAAGACAGAGTGAGAGTATCTATTGGTAAGCTTCTATACAACAGTGTTCATTCCGCATCTCAAAGAAATACATGAGTGTAATTTTATAGAGTATTTATTACAAAAAAGACACCCACGACTATGTTTTTTATTGATTACTTATAAACAGGCATAGGAGATTCTGCCGAAGAAGTTCTCGGGTACGTCAAGTCTTTTATACAAGGTAAATAATCATTCCACAATTGAAAACTGATACATAATCAGATCAGTGGCGGCGCCAGCAGGGGGGGGGGTCTTCCGACCAACATATTAAAGAGAAAGATTGTAATGTTTGTCATTTCTAGCAAGGACATTTACATTTTCTTTGCTTTTGGCGGCTTCTGGGAAATTGGATAGAGGCAGAAAGTTTAACAGTGTATTACCTGTCTCTTATACACATCTAGATGTGTATAAGAGACAGCCCATACCCACCCCTGGCTCTGGCCTTCGGCCCTGAGATAACGCTGCGCGCTATAGTTACACCCATAAATAATTAGCCCCCCCCCCCACCATAAATTATATCCTAGAACCGCCACTGAATCAGATAACAAACAGTTTGTGTTACACATAGTAGTCGGAGGATTTAAAATAGGGATTTTTTTGTTCAGGTATTTATATATTTCTTTGCTGATTAGTAATATCCCCCTATTCAGGGACATTTTCTGGGTGTGCCAAATGGGGTCGGGGACAATGGATGAAATGCTCTATAGACTTCGGATCAAATGATTGAATAAGGGGACACCACAAAGAAGGAAGCAGAGCTCCCGAAAATATTCGTCAATAGCTAAAATATTTTAAGAGCATATTTGTGTTCATTAGTTTTTAAATATTGAGAATCTATTGACGGTGCTATTAAAGACCTAGCGAATGCTTGGTATCTTTGTGATACACACATAAATTACATTAATGTCTTCATGTTTGCGGAGTCTCTCTTTTCCTGTTAATGATGTTAGTGCAAAATTCAACAATTTAAGAAAAATATAAAAATAATTCATATTTTTCTTGTTACAAAAAAAAGGAATAAAGTGGATAAAAGGGAAGAAAACAAACATTGTCAAAATAGTTATGTTAGGAGGAGGAAAGGAAATAGCCAGAGTAATTGGAGCCGCAGTACCCAAAGCTGGTAAGATGTTTTTAATACAGTGTTATTTTTATAAATTTAAATTTTCCAAATAATTATCTAATTAATTTATTAATTATTTTAATCAAGCATTACTTTATATAAAATCTTAATAATTACATTACATCATATTCCTTAATACTGTGGTCATGGTATTCTGCTTTTCAGCTCTAAATGTGGCCGATGATGCTCTAGGATGCGCTGGTCAAGTGTTAAGAAAAGGCGCTAGAGTCTTTGGCGTGGTTGCTGGTGTAGCTGTTATTGGGTTTGAGGTATACAATATCGTTAATACAGCTATGGAAGTGCATAAAGGTTCACCTGATAAGGCCGCTGAAGCCATCAGAGAAGCTGCTAACGAACTGGAAATGAGGACGCTGCCTGAACTGAAAGATCTGATCATTCAGACGAAACTGGAAGCTGCGGAAGAAAGTGGAATACAAGAGATTACTGAGTAGAATGTAAGTGGGATCAGTAACGGCACTAGAGACTTCCCTAGGAGGGGTCCAATATCCACAACAGGTAAAATAAAGGTATACTAATTGAATTATCGCATATGAAACCAATTATTGATTTGATCATTGTAATAATAGAATAGTTTATGGAAAACAATTGCCATTCCGACATTGATATAGATAATTTGAGTCGCTCCAATTGCAGATGACTTTGTCTTATAATATAAGCTAATAGAAACACGGCAGCAATAGATCCTGTAGGGGGCACGTGCCCCCCCCCCCCGTTTTGCCACAAAATTTTAAAATTTCAAGGCATATTGAAATTAGCGCTCTCTCTTTCTATTCTGAATATGTTGTGTGCCCCCCACCCACTCCCCGTTTGAAAAATTCTGAATCCGCCCCTGAAAGGAGGCTTTCAATTGATGATGGGGATTTTGGGTGGCTTCCAATTAAGGTTATTCAGGACATTTTGAAAGCAAACTTTTCTGTAATATGTTTAGATAAACAAGATGGCTATAAATGTTTAACGGAATTGAGCCTCGCTTCAAATTAATTCACAGTTTAATCAAGACATGGCGGTGGCAGATCTAGGAACAAGAGGGGGTCAAGAGAGGGACTTTCACAGATTAATAATAAAAATAATGCAATATAACTCATAACTCACTTATTAAAAGTAACATGACACCATGGTTGAGGCTGAGGTAAGAAAATTTATGATTATAGCACCTCTAGATGGACGGAAATGGCGCTTAAAATTTGAGAATTTTCGTTTCTTTCTAATTTTTTTTACTCGACTCCGACACTGCATGTGAGTGCATACATTTTTATATTGACTTAATTTTTTAATCTTTCTGCCTTGGCAATGATTCAAATAATGCTCAATGGGTTAAGTGTTTTAAAGACCTGTTATATGATTTAAATATTGATTTTTGTTATTGAGAAAATCATATCATATCTTCAAGTGTACTAGATTAAATGAATTTTTAATGGCGCGCGGTTTAAAATTTTAGGCCACAGGTCCCACAAGTCTGGAGGGCTGAAATACAAGTTACAATAGCGCACCATCTTTCGGATGAGACGTTTAAGCCGTTGGTCCCGTGTGCATTTATGGCCCATGTGCACGTTAAAGAACACAGTACACTCTTCGGAAAAGAGTAGTTGATTGTCTCCCGGTGTACTGCCCAATCACCACCAGAAGGACCCCACTGGAAATAAGTCTTCCTCTAGACTTTCGTGGGCTATCCTTGGTGAGGAGGAAATCCAATCCAATCCAATCCAACTATAGTGGGGCTGAGGTGATCTACACTCCATCTGTAAAATTCCCTCCCTGCCCCCTACCCCCTCTCTTGGAATTCCTCGAACCGCCACTGTATTTTGAAAATGTAGTGTGGAAATAAATCAGAGCTTCCGGGGGGCCTCGCCCCCTGGGCCCCCGCCATGTCTTGGGCCTACGGCCCAAGACTTCCTTATTTTGGAATTCGTTCTTTCCCCCCCCCCCCCACACGGGGTGCCAATAGTCCAGTGGTGGGTCCAGGATCTCAAACTGGAGTAGGTGGGGCCAGGGATAGATTTTGACTGGAACTGAGAGGAAAAAATGTGTGATTATGACACCTTTGATGGCCGGAAATTGTACTCATTCATTAACATTTTTATATTTTATCCATTAAAAAAAAAAACCAAACAAACAAAGGTAAGGGTGCTGCCCTGCTGGGCACCTCGCCCTCTACCTTTCAGTTGATGTCAGAGACACATGCTGTTATGTATCACCAAAGCCCTTTTGGCTCAGGGTGCTATAGAGCGAAGACTCTATGGGTAGGGGCACCCCGAAGGGGCACCTAATGGTCGGTGGCGCTACGGACCGCCGCACATAGCGTTATGCCACTAAGCATGAACAGCTCTTCTAGGACTACATTCTGTACACCCGCCCCTGATACCTGAGTACGATGGTACATGTAATTTGTGTAAAGAGATGGTGTGGAAGGTATTCAACGTACTTGCAACAAACTTCATGCCATAAAATCTGAGGAATGAGCAATTTAGAAAACATATTAAATAACGCCGATTATTCAAATATATGGGAAAATCATTTCTTGTGATTCAAACACTTCGTCTTTGGAGGAACTGACCGTTATGATGTTTTTATAGTTTTAGCATCTATGTTTTGATAGATTTTGTAAAGCATTTGTTAAAAAGGCATGGAACATAGAAATGATATTTTAAGTGAATGATTTATGGTGTTTTTTCCTTATTTTTTTTGGCAGTGATATTTTTAGTATAGTCCTATTTATTGTAAAATTATGTGATTTAATAGGGATACACTTAGTGAATTGTTCATCTGAAAAAGACCTGTTGAGAGCTGGGTTTGTGTGTGATGGGAGTTACATGAGGTGGTGTATAGGCCTACATGGGAAAGGGCATGCAGTGTTGATACTGTAAGATCTATGTTTGTTGATCGCATCGGAACGTGTCCCTATCTGAATCATATAATTAATAGTTTTAACATATTTTTGCAATTTTTAAGCTAGATTTTCTGGTATGTTATGCCTTATATTGGGTTCGTTCGTATTTTGTTAATACTGTAATATTTTACTGTAATTTTATTTTTAATTTGTATATTTCTGTCAAAGACAGACTTGTTTAGGCCATATTGTTAATTTCTTTGTTATAGATGCACCGCCTGCGCGCTAAGTGTCATTGATATAAAAGTGTATATCCAAATAAATTATTATTGAGCTTAGCTTCAACGTGTTTGGGAGCAAATTTTAAAACTCCAGATGCCCAGAAATGGCACTCGCACACTCGGAAAAATATTTTTTTAGAAGTATGGTTTCCCGACGAACCATTGGCTTGTTCCCTGGAGTGCTGTGTCCCATTCGATCCCTGCCGCTGGCACTGGAAGGTTTAATTTTGGGTAGTAATATCTAAATCATGAAGGCCAAAGAATAAGTACATGTACTGGACTGATGTGCTTGGGAGGAGATGGGTAGAGTCTAGTCGCAATCATAAAGAAATATTTTTACCAACTTAAGCTTAGTTATTGTATTGTGTGAAGAAATAAATGTTTATTTGAATTTGAATTTGAAAGGTAGTTAGTTGTCCTGGGAATGACAATAAACTTCTTCAAACTCAGTCAATAAACTGACAACCCCACTCAGAATGCTGATGAGACGAATGTTATGGCCGCCTAAAAGCATCAGCAAAAAAACAAAACAAGAGGTTGCAGTTTTGAATCCCGCTAGACACTTTTTTCCACAACTGAATAAAAGAACTTTCTATTGAAGGCCTATGATTTATGCCATTATAAAACGAAATAGGCCTAATCAGAAAAAAAATCTTACATTTTATTTGAAATACCGTATACAACGCAATAATTTTAGCTTAAAAACTGCCTTACATTAACTCTGCTATCCTCACTTCTTCCTTCACACTTGTCTGAATATCATTCATCAACCGTTTCATATTTCAATTCAATTAATGTACTTTATTGGCAGAGTTTCGTAAACAAAATTAAAGATTTGTGGCCCAGTCATCTTTTACAGTCAATAGGCATTACACTTTTGGTGAGTTTATGCCGTGTATGACCTTTGACCTTGTAACATAACAGCAAAAAAAAAAGAAGAAATTTTGTAGGCGTTGTTTTGATATTATATAGGGCCTACACAACTTCAAAAATATTTTGAAAGTCATCAAGGAGGTATACCTCCTTGAAATAATAAACCACTATACTGCCCTGATTCGGAAAAAGCATTATCTGCAAAATCCAGGTTTTGAGAAAATGAACAAAACGCGTTTGGTTTTAGCCAAAGAAAAGAACAAATTATATTCAATTCTTTTAAGTATATTTTTAACAACTATAGGCCTACTATTAAAAAATTCTTCATATACTTTCTACTGATTTTTTTAAATTGGGGTGGGGGTCAAAATGCAGATAATGCCTTTTTCCGGATTATTTGTGCTTATAGATAGGAATTAATAATTTAACACTTGAGCATTATCTGCAATAATGTTCAAAAGTATCGATGAATTTTAAATTAGTGCATGAATACTGTCAATGTATGTCGCTGTAATTTAAAATAAAAAACAATTTTTCTTAAAAATATTCTAAATTTGATGTAAAAATAAAATAAGTATTTTGGAAAATGTACTCGCATTGAAAATTATAATTTCTTTATCGAAATGTTTAACAAATGTTTTGTACGCAAGTTATACAAAGTAAACCATTATAGATTGGGGGCGGTGTTGAGGGTGGGCTTCGGGTTGTATATGTAAGGTAAATGTGGAGGTAAATTGAAAGTTATCTGTATTTATGACATGTTTTACCGTTATGTTTCTAATATAATGCCACACCAAGCTGTTTCAATTATCTTCATAATCACTATCATCATCAGTATGGTCACTGGATAATAATGCTACCTAAAATGATATTCTTAAATTCGCATGAATTTTACATACACTAAAAACATTTAGAGCAACCCTTTTATAAAACAATTCAAATTAATTATTTAAAAAATGTAAACTTAAAAACAAAGGATACATTATAATATTTTGTACGGTATCAAATCAGGTATTATATGTTTCATCATCATTGAACGATAGCCATTCATATAGCGCTTTTGGCCAACGGATACAAAGCGCTTGGATATGTGGACTAGAAGCTCGATCAATAATCAAGATGGCAAAATAAAATTAATTTAAACTTACAAAATAATATTTATATTGCTTATGGATTGTTAATATTAAGTTTTCAATAATTTAGCAGAAAAACATATTTAGTAATACACATTGAATAAAACAATTAAAAATATTTATATAAAAGTATTACATGTAAAAAAGATGCACAGAATTTTGCATTAAAATTAATATTTATAATAATTACACGCCAAAAAGCTCATAAATAAGCTATAACTTGTGTCAAAGTAAAAGAAATCATCAGAATGATATGACGTTTCGTAAAGTTTATAAGAAAAACAATGTAGATAATGCCTTCTTTCGAATTAATCGTCAGATATAAAGCTGGAACAAACTAGGCATTATCTTTGAGGAGATCTAATTAATATTCATCACACTGGTACCTGATTGGATAACTACTTCCTGGCCTACCGTTCAAAGCTTTATTGTGGCCTTTAGTGTAATTAATGTCTTATTCCAAATTATTTGTAGTGGTGTGTGTAGATAATGCCCATTTAAAAAAAATAAATATCATATTTAGAGTAATATTTTTGGCTTTCTAGTAAATTAAGGTGATAGTTTATACCCTCAGGAATCATGTGAGACAAAAATCTCAATTAAAAAAAATGAAGTTAATGAAGATTTTGTAGTACAGTACTTTGTACTTGAAATACAAATTGCACATGCGTTCTAATACAGCACAAGAAGCAGCAACATTACCGTCTTGGCCGAACGCTGGGCGGAATGACGGGGGCTTCAAATTGGGTTTCTGTCAATACATCTAAGTAAAATGTATACATTCCTAATTCTATCTTGGCCGTTGTCTGTTATATTATGAAAATAAAATGTGTACAAAAGGACTGTGCCTACCAGATACATACATACATTTAATATATAAAATGAAAATATACTTATACAAACTAGCACCAGACAATTTTCACAAATCATATACAATAGAGATATAGATATAACAAGTACAACATATTGGAAGCAAGACCAATACTCTACTACAGTGTGATTACTAATCATAAACAAAAAGTATTTGAATGGAATTGTTATCTTGACAAGTAACTGATTGTATAACCGAATAGCTGATGAAAGAGATAAATGCGGTTATAATAAATAATATATCAGTGAAGTGAAATTATGTAGACTTAGTATATTTAGAATAATAAATTCTCTTTTTGAAGCAATACGATCATTGAGTTGACCGACAAGAATATTACCCAACTACGGTACAGTAAACACACAGGGGCATCAAACATGACAAGTAAACATTCAAACTGGAAGCCTCAGGAAGCACAATATATCAGAGTTAATCCTTGAACTTGTTGCAACATGTGGCGATGAAGACGAGGTGGAGAAAGTCAGAGACTGGTTAAAGAATCCTGATACGATTCCTACGAAAGCCTATACAATTGCAATGACCACGGT